TATTTTAAGGAAACATATAAACAGGAAAAGAAAACATTTTGACATTGATTATGCCTGTTTAGAAAATGCTTCTTGATTAAAGAATTTTGAGATATTTGGACTAGAAACAAGACAAAAACTATAAGAAGAGCATTTTGTGCAGTGTTAAAGGACATTTAGAGAGTTTGCTTCACACTGTCTGAGGTCAGATGAAGAGACGCTCATCACATCATCTCATTCGCTCCTCCCTCCATCTTTACCCTTATGAGACAAAAACAATTTCCTGAGAAAGTCAAGAGGTTGATGCAATTCCCTCAGCCTTCCCGGCTCACTCCTCAGGTGTATTTTTGGTTTGTGTTTGTGTTTTGCTCTTGTTATTGCACATTCTCAGCCTTACTGATCAGATGCACCATTTTGACCTGGATTCCACATTAACAACCACATAAAAACTTGCTGGAAAGCAGCTCGTCACAACATAAAGAAATTACGTATTTTTCATAAATTACACGACATTTTAGGTTACAATTCACTTGTTTAACAAACCACTGACTGTGATTGGGACTTCGGGTTGTGGCGCACACTGGTTATTCATTCATTCATTCATTTTCTTGTCGGCTTAGTCCCTTTATTAATCTGGGGTTGCCAACTTATCCAGCAAGTTTTTACGCAGCGGATGCCCTTCCAGCCGCAACCCATGTCTGGGAAACATACACACACACATTCACATACACACTCATACACTACGGACAATTTAGCCTACCCAAATCACCTGTACCGCATGTCTTTGGACTGTGGGGGAAACCGGAGCACCCAGAGGAAACCTACGCCGAACGCAGGGAGAACATGCAAACTCCACACAGAAACACCAACTGAGCTGAGGATCGAACCAGCGACCTTCTTGCTGTGAGGCGACAGCACTACCTACTGCACCACTGCGCCACCATATCTGGTGTAGAATATAATAATACTTTTTAACTATTAAGTTTGGGTTAAATGCATTCATGCTTTACACATTAGTTTAAGTAACAATTCACAGCATGTTCTACAGGCTTATTATCTGCCTATTAAAAGGACATTAACTGCATATTAGCACTTATAAAGTATGATCTGATTCCACATCCCTAACCCTACACAAACTACAACTTCAATAACTATTAATAAGCAGCTAATTAGTAGTGTATTGAGCTAAAAGTCTTGGTTAATGGTGTGTTAGAAGCTAGAATTGTACATTCAATTAAAGTATGACTGGGGAGTTTTTCTGTACATTTAGAATTATACATTTCACACTAACTATAAAAATAAGACGCTAATAAATCTATCAATAACACAACAAAAACCCAGCGAACAGTACAACATATTCTATTATTACATTATATTAATAAAATAATAAATAAAAATGTACCCACCTTAAAACTAGTATACAGATTCTTTATAAATACTGTGGGTGGCACGGTGGCTCAGTGGTCAGCACTGTGGCCTCACAGCAAGAAGGTCGCTGGTTCGAGCCCCAGCTGGATTAGTTGACATTTCTGTGTGGAGTTTGTTGGGTTTCCTCCGGGTGCTCCGGTTTCCCCCACAGTCCAAACACATGCGCTATAGGGGAATTGATGAATTTAATTGGCCGTACTGTATGAGTGTGTGAATGAGAGTGTATGGGTTTTTCTCAGTACTGGGTTGCAGCTGGAAGGGCATCCGCTGTGTAAAACATATGCTGGAATAGTTGGCAGTTCATTCCGCTGTGGCGACCCCTGATAAATAAGGGACTGAGCCGAAGGAAAATTAATAATACAATTGTAACAAAGGTTCTTTGTGTGGGAAGAAGAAGACAGGGTCGGCGTTGAGGTAAGTAACAGATTTTTTATTTTAAGTAACAACTGTAAAGGACAGCTCCCACTATGTGGCCGTCGTTCAGCTCTCTCTCCCGACTGTTCCTCCCGTTCTCCTTAAGACGGGTGTCTCTCCGGTCCAATCACTAGAATAAACAGGTGTTGCTTATTATTTCGGATTGGCCTGCTGATTAGCCGCCGGGCTCTGAGCATGCTCTCCCCCTTTATTGGGTATTCGATCATGCTTACCTCTCCACAACAATACTGTATGCAAACTAAAATAAAATATTGTTTGTTTGTTTTTAGTTGCATCTTCTCCACCTCTGTGTTTCTCACTTTTTTTCCAGCCCTTGGTGTCTCAACAGATGGCGCACCATGTGGCGATGGACCTACGGTGAGGTGGGCATCAGGGAAGGGACTAAAATCTGCCCATGCAGTGGGCATGAGGGATCCGCCTGGCACACCGTACTGCCCGCTGAGCACGAGTGAGACCAGGTCAACCACTGATAAAGGTAAAGTCAGAAAACATTTCCCAAATGATGCTGATGTATGATGTACAGACTCAGGATTTTTTCACAGTATGTCTGATACTATTTTTTTTCGGCAGAAAGTCTTATTTGTTTTATTTCAGCTACAATAAAAACAGTTTTTAATTGTTTTAAAGCCTTTTTAAGGTCAATATTATTAGCCCCCTTACACAATATTAGGATTGTCTACAGAATAAACCACTGTTAATAATAATAATTCCTTACATTTATATTGCGCTTTTATGGGCACTCAAAGCGTTTTACACAATGGGGGGGGGGTCTCTTCATCCACCACCAGTGTGCAGCATCCACTTGGATGCCAGACCGTGTGATATGATGATATGCCAATTATGATATGGGGAATGTTAGGAGGCCATGATGGACAGAGGCCAGTGGGCAGATTTGGCCAGGTAGCCGGAGTTAAACCTCTACTCTTTTCGAGGATTTTTAACGATCCCAGAGAGTTGGGACCTCGGTTTAACGTCTCATCCAAAAGACGGCACTCACTGAGCAGTATAGCGTCCCCGTCACTATATTGGGGCATTAGGACCCACACAGACCGCAGGTTGGGCGCCCCCATGCTGGCCTCACTAACACCACTTCCGGCAGCAACCTCGCTTTCCCATGTGGTCTCCCATCCAGGTACTGACCAAGCGCAGCCCTGCTTAGCTTCAGTGGGCGACCATGTGGGAGTTGCAGAGAGCTAGCTGCCGGCTAGTTATACTGTCGGCAGTTAAACAATGACTTGTCTAATTACCCTAACTAACCTAGTAAGGCCTTTAAATGCCACATTAAGCTGAATACTAGTGTCTTGAAGAATATCTAGTCTAATGTTATGTGCTGTCATCATGGCAAAGATAAAATAAATCAGTTATTAGAAATGAGTTATTAAAACTGTTATGATTAGAAATGTGCTGAAGAAATCTTAAACAGAAATTGGGAAAACAATAACTCAGGAGGGCTAATAATTCTGACTTCAACAGTATGAGCCTCCTGGAATAATACATCTACACAAGTGCAAGCACACAAACAGTTCAATAAAATCAGCCCAGAATGACGCACGTCCTAAAGTTGGGGTCATGAATTTAATTTCAATCATCAGAGCAAAACCTCAGTGTGAGAGAATATTAATATGGGTGCTCTCGAGTTGGTTGTTTATGGGCCGTTATAAGTGCATTATTGTGAATTAAAGTAGCCGGCAGGAACTGCAGTAATCATGTTAGCGAGCTGAGATGAGTTTAGAAGTGTCACGCTGTCGTCCAGCTGGACTGTGTTTCTCCACTCGCTCACATTCTACATAATTGACTTTCGCCTTTCCTCTTTCCGAGCATCATGAATATCCTATTTACCCCTCACACTTTCAACATTGGTCTGGTTCATAGTCAGAGATGGGTGTAAATTGTCACTAGTTTTTGTAATGACATTACTTTTGCACTCAAAGTGTAAAGTAAGGGATCACTTTTATTATTTTGGTCATTAATTAGTTACTTATAATGTGCTTGCCTTAAATACTGAGTCTCCACTCTCTGGTTAACGATTCACTGATTCAAATCAAACTGTCAGAGTGAGTCTGCAGGTAATGATTCACTGATTCAAATGATTCAGTTAGAGTGAGCCTCCAGTTAATGATTCACTGATTTAAATGATTCAGTCAGAGTAAGAGTCCACTCTCTGGTTAACGATTCACTGATTCAAATCAAACTGTCAGAGCGAGTCTGCAGTTAATGATTCACTGATTCAAATGATTTAGTCAGAGTGAGTCTACAGTTAATGATTCACTGATTCAAATGATCTGGTCAGAGCAAGTCTCTAGTTAATGATTCACTGATTCAAATGATTCAGTCAGAGTGAAAGTTCACTCTCCAGTTAACAATTCACTGATTCAAATGATTCAGTCAGAGTGAGTCTCCACTTTCCAGCTAACAAATCCATTTCCGGTAAGAGCGAGTTTCCATTTAATGATTCACTGATTTAAATGATTCAATAAGAGTGAGTCTCCACTCTCCAGTTAACAATTCACTGATTCAAATCATCCGGTAAAAGAAAGTCTCCAATTAATGATTCACTGATTCAAATGATTAAGTCAGAGTGAGTCTCCACTCTCCAGCTAACAAATCCACTTCCGGTCAGAGCGAGTCTCCAGTTAATGATCGACTGATTCAAGTGATTGAGTCAGAGTGAGTCTCCACTCTCCAGCTAACAAGTCCACTTCCGGTCGGAGCGAGTCTCTAGTTAATGACCCACTGATTCAAATGATTCAGTCAAAGTTAGAGTCCAATCTCCAGTTAACAATTCACTGATTCAAATCATCCGGTCAAAGCGAGTCTCCAGTTAATGATTTATTGATTCAAATGATTCAGTCAGAGTGAATCTACACCCTCCAGTTAACAATACACTGATTCAAATGATCCAGTCAAAGCGATTCTACTTTTGCATGAGCTAATTCCTTTAAAATGTCTTAATGCATTCTTGCAACTAATTTGACCAAATAAACAACACGGTTCACCCATAACTCACACGTCATTCTCATACACAAGCGTCCCTGCTGTTTGTTCACCACGTTAGCAGATGTCGAACCCAGAATGCACCTCGGCAGCACCTTCACGGGAAGCTTCCCCTGCTGTTTTCCTCATTTCTTCATTATGTTAACCAACTGGTGGCCACTCACCTTCTCCTGATACTGCCTGCGCGAGGAGTCCAGGGACTGGATCAGCGCTGTGGCGTGCCCAACAAACATGGCGTAACACGTGGCACCCACGATCATGCTGAGGATGGTCAACCACACGTCTGTCATGCCCACGGGAGGATACATGCCATATCCTATACACAGCATGTGGCTCATGGCCTTGAAGAGAGCGTAGGAATACTGCTGACCCCACGTGTCGTTCTGGAGAAAGACAGACACAGAGAGAGAATCATAAACAGTTCATGGCACAGATGACCTGATGATACTCACAATGACTTCATGAACTAAGACAAGCAACACTAAAATAACAACAATAATAATAATCATATATAATCTTGCCAACTAATCATTTTATATAAGAGAAAACATGAGCAAACACCTGTAATGTTATTAGAATCTATTTATGTTTGACACTGTTGACACCATAACATACACTTCACCCATAATTCACTGATTCAAATGATCCAGTGTGAGTGAGTCTCCAGTTAATGATTCATTCATTCAAAGGATCCGATCAGAGTGAGTTTCTGATTTACCATACACTCATAGCAGTTAGAGCGAGTCTTCGTTTAATGACTCACTGATTCAATTGATTCAATAAGTGAAAGTCTCCAGGTAATAATCTGATTCAAATGATCCGTTCAGAGTTAGTCTACAGTTAAAGATTCACTGATTCAACTGATCCAGTCTGAGCGATTCCCGAGTTAATGATTTGATGATTCAAATGATCTGATCAGAATGATTCCACAGTTAAAGATTGCCTGATTCAAATGATCCAGTCAGAGTGAGTCTCCAGTTAATGATTTGTTGATTCAAATGATTTAGTGAGAGCGAGTCTACAGTTAATGATTGGTTGATTCAAATGATCCAATCAAATTGAGTCTACAGTTAATGATTTAATTCAAATGATCCATTCAGAGTTAGTCTACGGTTCAAGATCCACTGATTCACTTGATCCTGAAAGCGTGATTCTACAATTAAAGATTCACTGATTTAATTGATCCAGTTAGAGTGAGTCTCCTTTTAAGGCTTTTTTAAATTCAATTGATCCAGTCAGAGTGAGTCTCGAGTTAATTATTTGATTCAAATGGTCCATTCAGAGTGAGTCTACAGTAAAGATCCACTGATTCAATTAATCCAGTCAGAGTGAGCCTTGAGTTAATGATTTGATTTAAATGATCCGTTCAGAGTGAGTCTACAGTTAAAGATTCACTGATTCAATTTATTCAGTCAGAGCGAGTCTCGAGTTAATGATTTGATTAAAATGATCTGTTCAGAATGAGTCTATAGTTAAAGATTCACTGATTCAATTTATTCAGTCAGAGCGAGTCTCGAGTTAATGATTTGTTGATTCAAATGATCCATTCAGCATGAGTCTATAGTTAAAAATTCATTGATTCAAATGATTTAGTCAGCGCGAGTCTTCAGTTAATGATTTGTTGATTCAAATAAACTAGTCAGAGTGAGTCTAGTTAAAGATTCACTGACTCAAATGATCCAATTAGAAAAAGTCTTCAGTTAACAATTTACTGATTCAACTGATCCAGTCAGAGCAAGTCTCTTTAATTAATGATTTGATTCAAATGATCCAGTCAGAGTGAGTTTACAGTTAAAGATTCACTGATTCAATTGATCCAATCAGTGTGAGTCTCCAGGTAAATATTCACTGATTCAGTTGTTCCAGTCATGAGTGAGTCTACAGTTAATGATTCGTTGATTTAAATGATCTGGTCAGCGTGAGTCTACAGTTAAAGATTCACTGATTCAAACAATCTGGTAAGAGTGAGTCAACAGTTAACAATTCACTGATTCATTTGATCTAGTCAGAGCGGATCTTCCGTTAATGATTTGTTGATTTAAATGATCCGTTTAGAGTGAGTCTCGAGTTGAAGATGAACAGATTTTAATGCAGGAATCAGAGTGAGTCTCCAGTTAAAGATTCACTGATTCACTTGATCCGTTCAGAGCTGGTCTCCAGTTAACGATTTGTTGATTCAAATGATTCAGTCAGAGTGAGTCTACAGTTAAAGATTCACTGATTCAAATGATCCAGTCAGAGTGAGTCTTCAATTAATGATTTGTTGATTTAAATAATTCCGTCAGAGTGAGTCTACTTTTACATGAGCAAATACCTTAAAATGTCATCAAAATATAAGCATTTTTGCCACTATTTCGGCTTATTTGACCATTAACCTGAGATGAATTAAGAAATCGTGCACACGCTCTAGTAAATATAGGGATCAAATTAAGAAATCATGCCCACTATTTACTTGAAATGAGGGAAGGAATGAATGAATAGTGAACATGCTCCAATAAATCAGAGGATCAAATGAATAATTTGAGCACAGGGTTTGTTGGTTTTTCTTTCATGTCATGAGCAGAGCTCCATCCTGAACAACTAAAATAAGACTGCTCCATTTTTATTTAATTATATGCAAACCATTAAAACATGTTAATATTAAATAACATTAAAAAAAGTTCTGTGAATCAGTCATATTATTCTTTACAATAAGGCTATTTGCATGCAGACAGTGCACTAACTAATGTTTGTGAACTTTCATATTAAAATATATGAATAAATGTTAAGAATAAAGGAAGATTCACAAATAAAATATGTAATTATTTTTAGTTTTTAGTTCAATGTAAAGAAATGAAAATATTTCTTGGCTTTTTTATGTATTTGCATTATTGTATCTCTTTTGTATTATAGTTATTTAATCCATAGTATTGTTATGTTGCTGTAAATAAGTTAGGAATAATAGTAACACATATTTATTGTGTTTATTAATCAAAATAAAACATGCATAAAACATTCATACTGTAGATTACTCTCACCTAGAATGTTGCTGTATATCTTGCTTTAAGACATGTCATATGTATAAATGAAGGCTGAAATAGATGTCATTCGGCTATTTTGTGCGTAATACTATGTGCATGAAGCAGAAAAGTTGAAATGTTTCCAGTAGCTGCATGAAAATGAATCCAGACTGACTCCCGAGAGTTCAAAAACACAGACAACACAGTGGCATTAAATGAAAATATGTACGAATAAGGGCGAAAAGGAGAAATGCGAGCTGAAGTAAAGTGGGTCAGCTATTTAGAAGGATGGGAAATGTCTGTGTGCCTCTAAAATAGTGAATAAATTGCCCTTGTCCTGTGGATGTACGCGCGCGAGTCCGTAAGGAATCAATATTGGCTCCGTCTGAGGTGACATGTCCAGATTGCTTTCAGACTCATTTTTGTAGAGGCTGAATCCTGAGAGAGCGACGGCTTATTACAGCTCTCCAAAAAGAGGGAAAAGATCATACCGTTTCATAATGACAGGCCCGACACTGGAAGAGCTGCATCTAACAACGCTAAAGAGCCGCCGGCATCAAAGAGTCCATTTGAAGAGATGCAGTTTGGCACTATGAGCCTGTTTACACCGGATCACTTCATGCCCTTTACTTCTGATGGTATCTCTGAAAACGTTTTCATTTCCATTTGACCAGATGAACGCATCTCCACTAAACGTGATTCTGATCTTCAAATCCAGCACTTTACACAAATTTAATTCAACCCAAGCTCAATCTGGAAACGTAGCCCCGCGGACGTTTCTGGAGACTGCGATTTACGTGGCTGGAGATACGTATGGCCGCGTTTTGTTTTTTTCGAGCGAATGCTATGGGGTGGTGTGACGCCGCTTCTCCTCTTCGCGCTCGCCGGCTGACAGCTCACCTCTGTGTGGAGGGCTTTCCCGATGCAACCAGTTTGTTCGCTTAGCTCTCAGTGTTACGTGGGCGGAGCGGAGGCCCGGAGGAGGAGGAGGAGCCAGCCACAGGGACGACCGGGATCGAGTCTGGGGAAGAGCGGTTCCAGAAATCAGGTAAGATGAAAAACAGAATCCAAAAAATAAGGGCGAGAACGCGGCGAGATCTGAAAACGCAGTCAAAATCAGACAAGGGCTTTTGCTTTTTTTCTGGACGGCTTTTGCAAATCGTCGCTTGGGTTTAGGGAAGGAGGAGGAGGAAGAGGAGGGCGGCTGGGTCGGCCGATTGGCCGGCCGCCCGGTCGATCGTTCAGCCAGTCAGTCGGACAGACGGTCGCTCCACAGCGGCCTCCGGCGGCTTTTCACGCAAGAACAGGTCGCTCCAGAGAGGCCTCACAGCGCACAGCGGCCTCTCGTGGATTCATGAAAACGAAAACTGTTCAAATACGTACCTCCCGGGACGTATTTCGCTGTCTGGAGAAACGTCCGCGGAGCTATATTTCCACAATAAGCCTGGGTTGATTTAATTAGGTGTTACATTGACTACATTGTCAGATACACTCATTTATTTAGGCTCTGTCCACATGAACATGGGCATTTTCAAAACCACACTTTCTTTCTACACTGTTTGTCCACACAAAAACAGAGTATCAAGGAACCGAAACCGAAACTTTCTTAAAACTCTTTGCCAGGGTAAAGATTTTCTGAAACTCTGGGTACAGTGTGGTCGTGTGGAAGAACTGAGTTTTCGCCTCGTGATGTCAGTGTGCGCATCGCTTTCTCCTTTCTGACCACTGTTGCTAACTAATCTTTGGAGAAAGTTGCTAAAAGTGGAAGAATTAATTGCTAAAAGTTGCTAAATGAGGCTTTAAAGTAATTGTGTGATGACATCACATTAAGGCTGATTTATACTTCTGCGTCAAGCACACACGTATGATCTGGCGCTGCCTGCTGTTCTCCAAACGTAACGCCTGGCGTTCATTCCAAACAGTTTGAGTCTCATCAGAGCAGAGAGTTTAGTTTCTGATGCTCTGAGAGTCCTTCAGATGCCTTTTGGCAAACTCCAGGCGGGGAGTGTCTTCCATCTGGCCACTCTACCATACAGGCCTGATTGGTGGATTGCTGTACAGATGGTTGTCCTTCTATAAGGTTCTCCTCTCTCCACAGAGGAATGCTGGAGCTCAGACAGAGTGACCATCGGGTTATTCATCACCTCCCTGACTAATGCCCTTCTCCCCTGATAACTCAGCTTAGATGGCCGGCCAGCTCTAGGAAGAGTCCTGCTGGTTAAACATCTTCCACTTACGGATGATGGAGGCCGTTGTGCTCATTGGAACTTTCAGAGCAGCTGAAATGTTTCTGTAACCTTCCTCAGCCTTGTGCCTCGACACGATCCTGTCTTGGAGATCTACAGACAATTCCTTTGTCTTCATGCTTGGTTTGAGCTTTGACA